TCATCTTACAACAGTGCCTAGCCTGTTTTAGATAATTTTGGAAGCCTTTCTTAAGATATTGTGTATATTGTAAGCAATTGGAAACCTGAAAGATATTCAGAGTAAAGCATCTGTGTTTTAAGATACATTTAAAAAAAAAAATGAACTTATGTAAGGAAATACTTCTTCTGTACAACATGCATATTTTAAAACTTTACTACTGTCTTGCAGTCTGGGTTTACAAAATAAAGGATACTTGCAAATGTTGTTATTTTAGTCTGAATTGACTTAAATGCATTTCTTTGGCTTCGAAGTTCATCCTTTGTCCTCATAGCAATACTGTAATTAAAAGATATATACATATATTCATATACTGTAAACAACAAAGACAATCAAATATTCTAAATTATATACAGATTTATTACACAATAAAGCTATCAAATTATCAAGTCTGTGACTACATACTTAAAGAATCATTGTAAGAATTGGATATCAATCACTGTCAGGATAAGTAGCCAATTTCATTACCTTAGTCTAATCGCCAGTTGGTTTATATCATAAATTTCAGACACTAATCTACAGCCATCTTCAGGGAAGTTTTAGAATGATCGTATGTCATATCAAAAGTTAAGATACAATCCTTTATATTTTTTGTAGGACTACTCTGCACATGTATATACTCTATTTTATTAAAATTATGACAAATTACTAAACACTTTAAGCAACAAAAAGAGACTTTTACTGCATATGACTAATGATAAACGTTAATTTTTCAAAGATACCTTTACACCTCTCACCTTATCTGTTCATCCACCATTCTATCTGAGCTGGAAAATAATTCAAGAGAAAATGAATAAACATATATATTGGTGAATAGCTATGATTTAATACTATTATAATTAAAGCATTACACAATGTAATATCAAAAATTACAACAACTTTATACAAATAAAAGAATCTCGCAAATACACATTAATTTTGTTTTATTTAGCAGGAAAAATAATGTTTCAATTAGGTAATAAGAATAATAAATATATAACTTGGATTTATGTCCTTACCTTCTGATGTGTTCGTGTTCTTTAACATAAACATCTGCTCTTCTATTGAGGCTGGATGAATTCTTGTATGAACTACAAGAAGTATTGAAAACAAATAAATTATATTCTTCCAATAACTCTTCAAAAACTTAAGACTAACACTCAAGACACGTGTTTTACTTACATACAAGTTAATCACTTAACTGTCAACCTCACAAAATATATGTGATAGTTCACATCTGCATTCCCAGTGCCACCCAAAAATTTATGTGTGGTTCATAAAAAAAAGTTCCACGACTTATGCATAGATGGCAGCACATGCCATCGACATGTTGCATTATACTAAATTATGATGTTACATCAGATTAAATCAGATTAAATTAAATGTCACTAAAGCAGGATGTAATTAATGATGTTCTTTTTTTTTTGTAATAAAATATTGAAGCTGATGATCTAATTCTAAAATTTGTGAAAGTATTAAGTGGTTTTTCTCATACAAGCTTTTGGAAACTATCCCCAACATTTAAAAAGTCCAGACCAAACACAGATTTAGAAAAAACAGCAACTTAAAACAACAGAGATACAATCATATAAATAGCACAGGTATAATATCATACTCAATATCTCTTCGAACGGATCCCAGCAGTTCTTCCCTCTCCCTACGAGCTTGTATGTTTGTCTTTGTCTTCTGAAACTCATGACAGTAGTCCTGCAGAATTTCTCGGTGTCTTTGCTGAGTATGGAGCAAGGTGGAATTTGGCATGCTGACCCCTTGGGTCTGAGCATAGTCTGACATCTTATCATTTATGTCTGACAGCTAATGAATTGAGAATGGATAGATAATTACAACCTATATTTCAATGTTCCATTAATATAAGTTCACTAGATCAGTGGTTCTCAACCTTTTCCAGTAATGTCCCCCCCCCCCAAGTTAATTTTTAAAATTACCATGTACCCCCCCACAGTGGGGCCATCAGCATTTGTTTGAGTTGCGCTGATGTATAGCTATTATGCCAAATTGCCACTCTGTACCCCCTGGAAATACTTTTTGTACCCCCAGTGGAGAATCACTGCACTAGACAACATATCAAATATTATTTCAAAATATGGTACAAATTACTACCAGTTTCAAGTTGTCAAACACTTGCAATGAAACAAACCAGGGTGTAAAATGCATTAGTAATTCATTTGCACAAGTGTCTCTGACTTAGAAAAAAAAAGAGTGAAAGATAATTAATGGGATACAATTTTACACCAATATTAACTTGAAGCATATAATTTTTACTTCTGTTGGTTTCATGATTATACCTAAATCCATGGAAAAAATTCTCAGCTCTAAAACTGATGATATGGTTCACGTGGACCTAGACCCTACCTAATTCTGAAACATTTTTCTAAAGTGTGCACCAAATTGCTTGGAATTTGATGGCTGAATAACACAAGTTACAAAGAAAACACGAACACCACCAATACTGCAAGTAATCTCACTAGTTACTGCTGGGTTTTCTATACGAGTTCATCTAATTTTTTGGTCAGTTCTTTACAGCGGGTATTGTAATAGGCAAAAACATTACTCAAAGTGTATGTGAATTCTGAATCATTCCACTTTTGATAGGTTCACATAAAGCTATGTCTTATCATAAAAATTACTGATAATAAGTTATGTCTTTAAAAAAAGTAACTGAAAAAAATGTAGAAATTATCTTATGCCTTCATGTTGAAATTTCTTATAAGGTTAATTATTTAGCAGAAACTATTACATATGATAATGTCATAAAACAAAGGAGTTAAAAACAATGCAGTAATTTATTGGGAATACACCAATACATTTTTTTTTCAACATAAAAACCATGCTTACTTTGGATAATAGTTGTTCAATATCTAGGGCCATTGAGTCAAACATATGGTCACTGTTAGTACTGCTTAATAAAGGAACTGTATCAAGGCTGGAATTTATGTAGAAGAAACAGTTTATCAGTTACAAAATTAAAAAAAAGAAAACAATTAGATTACACACCTTAAACAAACATATACTTTGTAAATTACTTGTTCAAGAATCTGTTTTTTTTTATTAATACACAAAAAATAAGCTTATTTCAACAACTTGAATATCAGACAAATGTTCTGACTCCCGGTAAACTAAACACTGTACAAGTGATATTTTTTATTGCATCAATAAATCATTAACCGGAACTTCCTTTAAGTCTCATTATGAATAATTACCGACTTTCTTTCTCATTCAAAAATTTCTAAATAAGCACTAAACTTTCACTATCACCTTGGCCTCTCCATAGATATCAAGTTTGTACTTGCCAGCCTGTTCGTCCTATTGAAACACTAACTTTCATCATCACCTCGAACAACCTATAGAATTACTAGTTTTCATCATCAGCTAAGACTTTCTAAAGAATTGCTGATTTTGTAACATAACACTTTGAAAACTGAAAAGAAATATTAACTTCTATCATCACTTTTTTACATTAAAAGAATCACCGATTTCCACTGTCAGCTTAGACATTAAGAGAAACCAATGATTTTTTAAATCACTCCCAGCTTTCATCTATGTGTGGTCTAAAACACAATTTTTAAAATTGTTATTTACATAATATTATAAACAAATTAAACTGATTACTTACCCAAAAATATATACAAACTTAAAATTTGGCCAAGCTTAAGGTTTTACTCTGTAAAATGTGATGCGTGTAAATAAAGAGAGACAAAGCTTTTAATTTTGAATACTTCACAGTGAAAATAAAACGATAAAAATTATTCCTGCAGTTTATGTTGTTCACCCTACCATTATGGGCTGGGTGTATCCTCGTATCCACAAGAGTAATTATACTATGTATGCTTTTTAATTAAAGATTTTCTCGTAAAATTTTTTCTTTCAGAATGTTGACAATGCAAAGTATTTTAAGATTAAAAATACTTTTCTGCATAAGCAAATTTTCTAATTTCACATACAAAATCCTTATAACATCCAGATAATTAACAAACGTTTTTTTTAGAAAAAAAAAAACTATATTTTATCTGTTATTTTCACTATCAAATCTCTGTGCAGGTTTGGTTGATTTAACCAACTTCATAATCACCATGAAAAATTAAGAAATAAATATAAATTATGCTTTTTTTGTTCTAGAACAACTACAAATGATAACATGAAAACACAAGTGTTTAGTCTAATAACTTAAATTTCATAACAATATACATTTATATATATTTATTATTTTTATTACATTGACCTTTCACCCATGCCTGGCTAACATTATAGAAGTTGCAATGATGCAGTGCACATGTTATGGTTTCCAAGAATATATATTTGCCCTTTACAAAGTGACCTTTCTCTCTGTTTTAGTGGACTAGTGTTTTGTAAAATACAGTCACATTTCAGTTTTAATACATTACATGTGTGTATATAGATTATTGCTATTTACAAATAAGTTCTTAAATTTCAGTTATTTTTTTTAAAAACATAGAACAGTAAATAAAGAATTACAGACAACAATTATATCGTGTAGTTACGAACTTTGAACTCATGTGCTGCTTGCCATAGGTTGTTAAGCCTTATCACGTTTCGCACGTGGAGGATGTGAAACGAAATAATTTGTTTAGGTTTTATATATACTTTTTAAAATAACCAAAAATCATAAATTACTATATCAATATCACTATAATTTATCAAGTTCTGTAACTAAGCTGTAATCGAGCCTAAAAAAATATGAAATTTTGAGCTCACTAAAGTCTCACCGTTTGAAACCTATCATCAAAAGAACAAGTTTGCCATCAGAATATTTAGAAAAAGCTGAAAAAGCCACTAGGGGGACATTCTGAGCTTTTGAATGGTTATTCACATGTCATAAACAGAAGTAGGTGTATGAAAGCAAGTCTTTCAAAAAAATGGACAGAGGCAGGCAGGCCACTGTGCTTGATTCAGTAAATGTAGTGATATTTCAGCAAATAGAAAAGATAGCAGGTTCTTATTTTATATTCTAACTTGTAAATATCGGTAATTTGAGTACCTAATGCGTAAGAAACTATAGCCTTTGTATTTGGACAAAACAAACATCTAATGTGAAACAATGCTGCATTCAACATACCCACGTGACACACAAAAATCGGTATTTAGGATTTTTTAATATTTGTTTTTAAATTGAGAAATTAACCAATGTATAATTTTAAAATTTGAATTATAATCTCCAATTTGATACCAAACCTATTCACATACATTCATAAAATAGTAGTTAAATAAAATTTTGAATGTGAGTCTACAATTACGATGACATGGCCTTTGACCTGAGACCATAGGAAGACCTGTAGAGATAGGGTTAAAGACTCAAAAGTTATGTTACTTAATAACTTCTTTGAAAAATGTTTATATAACAATTATTACAACATCACTGTAAAAGGTATTTATAAGGGTTTGAAATTGTCTTTTTTTTGGATGGTCAATGAAAAATGTTTGCCAATTACTTTAAAAGTTACCCACAAAACAAAATAGCCATGGTTGGCAAAAAAATATATAAATAAAATCACAAGTTTTATGCCATTAGCAGATGTAACAAGTTAGCTGACATGCATTTATAGGAAATGTCATATTTTCAATTTCATATTTTTTAATTTACTACCAAGTTTTAGATTATGTATGCAATAATAATTACATTTTCTAATATGAAATAACAGAAAAAGATAAAAAGAAAATTATGACACTACTTTATCACTGAAAGATGCATGAGAACAATGAGCAACAACTTACTGAAGAAAAGACTTACCAATCATTATGGCTTTTTTTTTTTCATAAATGTTGTGCTTTCAACCATCTTTTTAAAACTTTTTGACCATTTTTTTAAAAATTGGTCTAAACATTCATAATCATATCTGTATTATCTACTGGCTAAAAAAATGTCATTACCCCTTAATGGTCATTGACTGAAAATTAGAACCCACTGACTTTTTGGTAGCTAGCCATCACCGGCTTCAAGCCCAGTATTATTGTACGTTTTTCTTCATAAGAAATTTCAAATTTTACTCAGATGAAATACTTCACATTGAAAGCAGCTGAATTTAAAGTATTACAGACTTTACAAGTGAGCTAGTGAAAATAAACACACACTTACTCTTCGTTCTTGTAGTCTCGAGTTCCAAAAGTTGTTCCTAGCTTGCTGAATGACACAAGTTTGAGATCAATGTCATTCTCTAGTTGTCTGGCTTGTCTACGCAGATCTATTACAAAGAAAAAAAAAAATTTTTTTCAGTGTAACTGAAGTAACACATGCTGTTTTGTTATTCAGAAGTTTCTAATCTTAAAGAGTTAAATACTCTTTATATTTAAATAATGCAACTGGCCTCAGCATTTAATTATTTGTACATAATGTTTGTAGAAATTGTATCTCAAATACCCATATATACCCATACCTTTTAAACACTATAAACTTTAATAATTACAAGAATTTTGTTAAAATATCCCATTCTTTACTCAGAATGTAAATCCACGCTGCAATAAATCTGACATCTTGATTCCTTCCAATGTATGACATAATAAACGTTACACCTATTTATGACATTAAACTATTTCTACTAGAGAGTTCAATTATTATTTGTAATGAGAACTAGCAGATTTTGCCATATTACTGTACATATATCTTAATTATTCTCTGTCTGGCAAAATGTTAAGTAATCTTATATTTTACATCAATGAGTAAGACGTGTACATCATCTAGAGCTGAACAATTAGTGGAATTTACTAATTGATTAATTATCAGGCTCATTAACTGATTACATTCAACTAATTGATTATTCTCAAATGAGACTAACCTTCATATTTTCAGCTTGTTGTTATTTTTTTGATACATTTTTAAACTACCCTTTCTTTAAGTCTTTCGGTACGGGGTCGGTCAATGTGACAACCTCGTAACCATTTTGTGCTTAATAATGACTGGAGACGGGTTGAATGGGTAATAAAGAAAAACTTTAATATAAGTT